AGGCTGACTCCTGCATAATCCATTCTCTTTACTCTAATTGATCTCATGATATCCTGAAATAGAACAACACTTTTATCGCCTGGTTTTTTTCGTTCTTTTCTTTTTACTTTGCTAGTGATAACAATAAGAAGAAAATCGATTCAAAAAACTGTAAATATAAACTAAATAGATAAAAAATCGAAAGGTTTGAGTTTGGGAGATTGCTCGATGTCGTAGAATATAAATTTGACAAATTGGAAAAATTTATATAACTCTAATTTTTGCTTGAAATGCTTCTCCAGTGCGGCGGTCATTGCAATTGATATTCCACTTTTTATGACTGAGCACTCTAACAGAGGAAGTTAGTTATAAAAACTCCGAAATAAACTACCGACAAACCAAACTCTGTCTAAAAGGAGAATAAAAACTTGAAATAAATAATTCCCTACAAATGAGTGGAAGAAACCCTTGGTATTTCTAGCTGATTCATCTATTTAACGATGATTTTTGGCGTTTCCGAACATATGTGCCTGTTATTTTTGTCTCGAAATTGATGGGAAAAAGTGCTCGCTAAGATGACGGTCCATGAAGAGTGTAATCAAAGCCAACTGATCACCTCAGCTGCTTGTTTCCGCCTTCCGACATACTCCCTCTGCTTGTTCAACGGGTTTCTTTCACACCCCCACACAGCGCTCGCAATCATGTCCGAGAACAATTTATTGAAGAAGGCATTTTTTCTTTCCAGTTTTATCACAAAGGAAAATCAGTGAGGTAATTTTCAAAGATTTTCCTCCTACTCTCCAAATGTCTTGAAATATAACACTAGTATAATATTCAATAATCAATTAATACTGATGTCGGTTAGCATATCATGTAGTAATGGTTTTGTTAGGCAATACAGTCAAATCTTACTCTTCTTAGAAATACTGTATTGAGGAATTGAGGAATGGGTCCTGAATTGTTACAAAAGGTTATCATCTTTAGGGGTGAACTGACTGCTAACGTATTCGATTGGAGATGGTGTAGTGACAAGTGGCGCACTATCTCACACGCACGATCACGGGTTCGAATCCCGGATCGATATCCGTCTAGGCTAACCAAGCCATCCATTTCTCCGGGATTGGTTATTCGGTACCAGAACTGGTCCGGGAGGATAAGAGCACTAACTTGTACATTGGTTGG